GGGGGCGGGGGTGAATTTATGTTTGTTCCAATACCAATAATATTTCATATTCCTATTTCTATAATTCTATATGTGTTTATAAATATGTTTAGAATGATAAATAAACGTGTACAGAAATGCATAAATAATTCTAATAAATTATTTCAGTGTCATATTCATTAAATATTAAAGATAATTATGCGTGTTTGACACTCTATAAGCTCTCATTCGAAAATATAAAACAATTACTGTAATCACGGCATTTGCTATTTATATTATACGTGTATATTAATTAAGAGATACATAAAATATTAAACAATGTTTGATTGTTGTGTTAAAATGATTAAATTAATACAAATCAATCGAGTATCCTAGTTTTGCTTTTAACGCGCAAAGCTAAGAAGCATTTTGTTTTTAGTTTTTAAAGCACTTAATTAAAGACTTGTTAATAATACATTATCATTGAAAAGTGTGTAAATGTCAAGAGAAAAAAAGCCTATTATTTTATAAATTCGTCGAAATTATGTTTAGCTATGGTGCGCTAAATACTCTATGGACTATGACGTAATACGTTCTTGTATTCTCACTGTCTATTTTCATATGCTGAATGCATGTGCGATAACGTGCGCGTGTGTGCGTGTGTGTATGTCTCGCTCTCACTCGCTCTCTCTCTCTCTCGCTCTCACTCGCTCTCTCTCGCTCTCTCTCTCTCTCTCTCACTCTCGCTCTCTCACTCGCTCTAGCTCTCTCTCTCTCTCACTCGCTCGCTCTAGCTCTCACTCGCTCTCTCTCTCTCTCTCTCTCTCTCTCTCTCCCTCTCTGTCTCTCTCTCTCTCTCTCTCTTTGTGCGTGTGCGTGTGTGTGTGTGTGTGCGTGTGTGTGTGTATTTGCGCGTGTGTTTAATTGGGCGTGCACAAGCACTGCAATTGCTTGTTTGTTGTGTACGAAAGGTGCGTAGCCAATAATCTTTTGGCCAAATGTCCAGGCTTCAATTCTTTAATTTAAATTGAATGTATAAAAACTATAATTCTCAAGGTCGTATCAGAAAATAAAATGTAATGTTTGCATTTTTTAAAATTATTATTATAAAACGATGAACGAAAATTGCTGGTCGGGCAATTGAAAGATATTTATATGTAATTTACATCGTCGTTGCTATCGAGGCTAATAATAGATAATGAACTGAGTTTCCATGCCGAGAAAGAGAAATGGGGGACTGTATGAATTTGAATATTTAATGGAATGTCGGGAAAATTTGAGAAGCGTATTCGCTCTATTATGCATCACACGACAAATTATCGTTCCACTCTTCCCCTCGGCGTGAAACTTTTAGATTAGAAAGTAAATGATAATAAAATATTCGCAGAGGTAGCCTCGGTGGTGCCAGTCGTCGTAGCCCAGCCACATTAATCGTAAAATTAAGAAAATTTTCCAAATTCCAAGCAAGAGTCTCACCATAATCCTATATTTCTCTTTGCACGCGTACTCGCTCTCGTCGACGTCGTTGTAGCAGTCGCTCTTATAATCCTTGGGAATCGGTCCGCCCTCGAATTGGCAGAGTCGTGACAGTGGTTTGGCCTTGACGATCATCTTGTCGAAGCCGGTCGGCTTGTGCACCGGACAATAGAACACGTCCGGGGTGTTTTTGTCAAAAACAATGCTCTTGCGAAGCATGTCACCCGCATCTGCCGTTATCAGCAGCGTCTACTCGAATTAGCCTTTTATTACTCTTCGCGTATATTGTGCTAATAATGGGACGGTTATCTCTGGCTCTGATTGCGTTATGGGACATTTATGGGTTAATAATAGGATCGTTATCCCGGACCAATATGGCGAAAATCGTTGTATTGTAAAATTTTCTTCTACTCTTTGACAAATGACATTCCAAGCAAATAGTATACGCGGATCGACGGATCTCAATGGCATTATATTATTGAGAATGCAACGAACTTTTAAAACTTTTATTTAAAACATTTGACATTTAAAAGGCAGGTAAATCTTAATGGACAAAGCAATTTTGCGAAATAAAATAGTAAAGTAATTAGCTGTTCAAAGACAAAAGTGAGTGTAATTTAAAAACAACAAAACAAAACAAGACAAAATTAGATAAAAGTATTATTTAATATAGGTCGCTGGACTCATTCAAATAATAGGAAAATAAAATTTAATAAAGTTCAATATGTGTCTTGGAATTCTGCTCGAGCGGTCAATGCGCACAGGACAATGAAAAGTCATTCCGCTTATTGAAGTTGTCGGGTGCTTCTACTCTATTAACTTTTAGCGATTTTTAATTCTTTCCTTTTATAAATTCGCAGAAAAATGCAATGGATCGTCACGTGTCCTTGTAAATGTACGAGACTAATGCATTTTTTCAAAGGCCGATTAATTTACGTTAATTAAAGAAGCCGCTGTAATTAATAACATATCGGTAAGGGGAAAACGTGGCCTTCGATCCACTTGAGCCATCATTACATTCCAAGTCGTTTGCACCGAGTTCAGCGATCGCGCATTACCATTACGCGTGCGATACAAATTATTCACGTTTTTTACGAACAAAAGTCATAATTCTTTCGATTCTTGGCATTTAGAAGGATAAAAATAATATACGATTGGAGAGCGAGGCAAAAGTAATGCAAAGATTAGTCGGCCGATCGACTCGAGCGCTTTGACAAATCGGCTGACATCGTACCTCCGGTTAAGAGGCCAAAAATCCGCAAATATGCGCAAATATGGATAAAAATATATAAATACAAATATCCAGGAGACCGACATTACAGTAGCAGCAGTAACAGTAACAGTAGCAGTAGCAGTAGCAGTAGCAGCAGCAGCAGCAGCAGCAGCAGCAGCAGCAGCAGCAGCAGCAGCAGCAGCAGCAGCAGCAGCAGCAGCAGCAGCAGCAGCAGCAGCAGCAGCAGCAGCAGCAGCAGCAGCAGCAGCAGCAGCAGCAGCAGCAGCAGCAGCAGCAGCAGCAGCAGCAGCAGCAGCAGCAGCAGCAGCAGCAGCAGCAGCAGCAGCAGCAGCAGCAGCAGCAGCAGCAGCAGCAGCAGCAGCAGCAGCAGCAGCAGCAGCAGCAGCAGCAGCAGCAGCAGCAGCAGCAGCAGCAGCAGCAGCAGCAGCAGCAGCAGCAGCAGCAGCAGCAGCAGCAGCAGCAGCAGCAGCAGCAGCAGCAGCAGCAGCAGCAGCAGCAGCAGCAGCAGCAGCAGCAGCAGCAGCAGCAGCAGCAGCAGCAGCAGCAGCAGCAGCAGCAGCAGCAGCAGCAGCAGCAGCAGCAGCAGCAGCAGCAGCAGCAGCAGCAGCAGCAGCAGCAGCAGCAGCAGCAGCAGCAGCAGCAGCAGCAGCAGCAGCAGCAGCAGCAGCAGCACGTAACGAACGATTAGTCGAAAAAGTCCGTTAAGGCGCGAAGGCGCGGTCGGTAAGGCGGGTGGTAGAAGGCGCGCGTCGTCAACAGCGTTCGAGTAAGCAGAGTCGAGAGCGTGTGTTTGCGAAATTGCGCAAAATGCACTTTCTAGATTGGAGTGGAGCTCGTTTCATGATTCACGTCGAGCATGCGTGCGCGCGGCGAAAACGCCGAGCATTCGACAATTTCTACACGGACGCTCCTTTTCCTACGCAATAACCGACACTTGCCGATAATTAGCCGACTTACTTGTGCCCTGTGAATTTTGCACGGCATTGTTATCCTACGCTTATTAATTCGATAATGCAATTTTCCGATTCGAGAGCGACGTCATTGCTAGCGATGCAATTCCACGCGCTTGAAACAGTTTAAATGGCTGTGCACTACGGGCGTTCGTTACGGGCGATCCTCCTCACTGCAATCGTACGTTAACCGTTGGGAATATTTTTTAAGTTGCCCGTGGCGAAAAGCGCGCCGACGAACAATTTCAACGTCTAAGCACGAATGATTGCGACGGGAAGCTGGAATTTATCGAATAGATCGCGATGCTGATGTAAATGACTGAATGCCCAAGTTACATACTACATCTACTTTTTCACGTATCGAGTGAAAGGAAGGAGAAGGTAAAATTGAATGTCAAATTTCAGCTATTTGAGCAATTGAACGTCGGAACAAGGCTATATTTACTCCTATCCAATGGTGAATTACCAAAGCGCCGTGTCTCGACATTTTCAAAACTTTATGCTTCTCTATCGATAAATTCTGCCGCTTCGAAATAACTTTCTTTTAAAGCAATTATTGGCTCTCTTCGTTTAAGCCTCGCCATTTGTTTCACACGCAATACAAAAATCTAAATCGAGTTCGTCGCGAAATGAAAGCTACTGCAATCCAACGACTTTTTAGCGTTTTGAAAAGTTCGTTTAATAAAACACAGATTAATAAGTTTTGCCAAAGAGGAGGAGAGTTCGACTCGACGGTTTAGGCTATTACACGTTTAATTATTATTTATAGATGAAAATAAAAATGGCCAACCAAATGGAATAACTTACAGCAAGGATCACTGCCAAACTGATCGAATAATAGTCTCCTGTAACAAACGAGCAACAATCATATATACATGTGCATTTATTGGGAAGGGAGGGGGAGGAGGGGGGAG